GAAATTGCACTTACTACTTGTAGGTACGATTAGCCACAGATGTTATAGTACATTACTTTGTTATATCTCATTACTTAAACTTACTTCGTAATTGTCATCGTCAATATATTTTGGAGGCACGAGCTGGCAGCAAGTTCTCTGCTATGCTAAAATAACGTATGAATTGCGGCCTCGAGATTTAAGTCTATTACCTAATAATCAGTAATCTCATTAAAATGCGAATGTTTGGATTGATGGATGAATGAATAGTTTGTTAAAAAGTATCTTCAGAACAGTTGTCGAGATCGCTCTGAAATTTGACTTAGATGTAGAACATACATATCAGTCTTTCCCCTTGTGGGCGCTGCAGGTCTTACGTTGCGGGTTATAGTCAAAGTTTCGTTTAGAATTCTCGGTTAATTTACATATATAGGTCACAATAATTAATTAATTTAATTTGAAGTTATAGTGGTTTTTAAATATGTGAAAATATGGGGGCGCTGGGCAAAAAGGGCTGCGCAGTTCTGCCAATTGCAGTCTCTTACTGTTATACCTGTTGACACGTTCCTCCCGCCCTGGACATGGTAAAAAAGGGCGCTATAGAAATCTCGCCCAGGGCGCTATAGATGTCAAACCGTTCCAATATGTGACGCTTGCCACTCGCCACTATGTCACATTCATTTCAAACCCACATCTTCAATTCGAAAAAAGCTTCGTTCAAATCGTTTCTATCAATGTTATTAACGTAATGACTATGACCTAACCTTCATTTAAAAAAAAAACCGTCTGACCGACGCTCCAATGGGTGAAATAGCGCCATCTATTGGTTCCATTTTAGAACTGAGAATTCATATATTTTTGAATTTGAACCAAATAAACTGAAAAACAGCACTTTGGCATTTTGGAACATACTCAAAAACATAGAAAAAACGATTAAGCTGTAAAGAAAAAATTTCAGCTAGTGAGGTTTGAACAAGACATAATTTTTTTCAGTAATTTAGAATTTCAGTTTTTTATGTCCACTGTATGTGTTTTGTGCCTATGGCATTTTGGGGAAGATGACCAATGGAATGACATCTCACTCGTCAAATCGGTTTATGTGATAGGCTCTAGGCCGCCACAACTGCATTTACATATATAAACCCACTTATATAAAAAACTTACATTGAAAAATGAGGACTAACTTCTTGGTTCAAAAGTAGGATTTTTTTTAGTAAGAATATAGAAAATGTATTTGCCATGCCACATTTCGTAAGAAATATTAGTATAGTCAGAGGTTGGTTAGCTTAGCAAAATCACTTGGTTAAAAATTAAACCGATTTTTTTAAGTCATTGTGCGCAGTATGATGGTTAAAAACTACATATTTTCAAGAAGGTGAAATATGTATTTTGTTAGCATAAACTAAAATTCTGCTAGTAGTCAACATGTATGAAGGTCAAGTAATCTTAGGCTTGTTGAAATAATATTTAAAAATACATATTACGAAACATTTTTATTTAGTAAATAAAGAAATAAATATTAATTAGGACATTCTTAATCATAAAAGGATTCCTATGAATTAGCTGCGTGCACTGCAAGCGGGCACGATGTCGGAGCGCTCGCAGCTCTTGCTCTGGAAGTTGAAGCCGAGTCCCGACGGGCAGACCATCAGGATGTACACTCTGTTGCGGCACATCAGGAACTGGTTGCAGCCGCCCACACTATAGGGGTAAATGTCACCGTTCGAGCAGTCAGTCCTGGGAGCGGCCGTCGAGGTAATAGGCGCTACTGTCGTAGTGGTGGTGGTTGTGGTCGGGGGCTGTTTCGTGGTCGTTGTTGTCGTTGTCGAGGGTGTCGCATGCTCGATGCAGGGTACTCTGGGAGCAGTTGTGATGACGCATGCGCTGCTGGTCCTGACCTCCTGCTGGGCACAAGGCTCGAGCGTGGCCGGCTGACACGGCGGCAGAGTCGAAGGCGGAGGTTTCCGTGAGTTCTCACAACCGCATGCTGGCTTACCATTTACTAGAAAATAATAAAAACCAATAAATAAAGACATCGAAAGTACAAAATATGAAGGTACAATATAACAAAGATAACTTACCAGATTGCATGGCCAAAGCCAGCAAAAGAACGGAGAACAATGTTGTCTTGAACATGACTATTGTTGTAGTGCTGTGAAGTTCTGATGTGAATTGTGACTCTACTTGAACTTACACTGTATTTATACAAAATCGTTTAGTTTGGAACATTTGGCATAATTATAATGGAATCATATAATTATTCTATTAGCGATATTAAAGACATTATAAACGCATTATTGTGAAATTATAATTTTTGTTAATTTTAATAAAAAAATGCTTATCAATAATTTCTTTGTTACTATTAAATCAGTATCATTTAAGTTAATTGTTGAGATGACAGTGTTACACCGCAGATAAGTAAAGCATGGAAATTGCACTTACTACTTGTAGGTACGATTAGCCACAGATGTTATAGTACATTACTTTGTTATATCTCATTACTTAAACTTACTTCGTAATTGTCATCGTCAATATATTTTGGAGGCACGAGCTGGTAGCAAGTTCTCTGCTATGCTAAAATAACGTATGAATTGCGGCCTCGAGATTTTTATTTTATTAGCTAATAACCGGTTATAAGGGTAGGGTACTGGCGTTAGAATAGGGAGCGGTTGGTCGATCTCTCAATGCGCCTGACAGAGAGGGCGTCGCAGTATTCTAACTCCACATCTTTTATATAAAAGAAGCTTCCTGGAATCCGTTTCTATCAAATTATGTTAACATAATGACTATAACCTAGTTTTAAGTGAAAATAATAAAAAACCCGACTAACTGACGCTCCAATAGGTGAAACAGCGCCATCTATTAGCTACATATTAGAACTGAGACTTTATATATGTATATTTTTTTAATTTAAAGCAAATAAACTGTGTTGTTAACTAGCACTTTTGCGTTATAGAATATACTCAAAAACAGCATGAAAATGATTAAGCAATTTAAAAAAGTAGTATCGATTCGAACTCGACATAAATTTTTCACTAATTAAGAATTTTATTTTTTACGTCCACTGTATGTTTTTTGTGCCTATGGGATTCTGAGGAAGATGACCCATTGAATGACATCTCTATCGTCAAATCAGTTTATATTACAGGCTTTAGATTGTACATATACAAACCCACATACATTAAAAAAAAAACTTACATACTTAAGACCGGAAAACCTCTGGTCAATCGAGTAGATATCAAAACCGTAATAAGCAACGAAGGGTCAAATCAATTCTCTGGTAGGAAGACACCCAAGCTTAGATTATATGGAGGAGTAAACGTTGATATACCTGAACTTCATATAAATTTTATTAATAAAACTTTGTCTTGGATACGAAAAGCTGCAGTTAATCATTTTTTATGTGGGAATATAAATATCAGTAATTATAGTGTGTTGTGTGGAAAATCAAAGACTCGGCATTCTCTTTCTAATGTAATCAATTTAATGAACATAATAATATTTTGTACCTCTTTATCTGTAGATTATTATTTTATACGTTGTGTGGTTTGAGATGATTTCAAATAAAATAATGTTTAGCATAATTTTATTTTTATTTCTTTGATATAATAGTTTAAGTTCTATCATCTTATATTTTCATCTTTTATTATTAAATCTTATCTTTTGAGGGTTTCCTGTCAAAAAATATAACACATGTAATAAAAGTCTTGCTTTTCAATAAATAACATTTAATTTTGTTCAATAAATAAACTTTAACATTTAAAATGTTCAACCCTCCTGGCACTGCACCTTGGTGGCGTCAACGCAGCGGTTGACGGAGGCGTCGAAGGCGAAGCCGCGGTCGCACACCAGCAGGCGCGCGACACCCTCCATGCACGAGAAGAAGTAGTGGCAGCTGCCCTGGATGCTGCGCACACAGAAAACACGCTCAACGCTCTCCTCATTGCACACGGCACATGCACGCACACAGCGCAGCACAGCACAGTAGTACTCACCTGAAGTTCACCACGTACGCCTTGCCGAACTCGTCGTAGGTCGCTGGTGGGCACTTGAAGCCGAGGAACTCTGTAAACACATGGGAGCACATGAGCATCAGTTCACATCACCGCTATCTACTGTACTGCACAATGAACGAGATGGGGAAAGTGTCGGGTACCTTCAGCGCTGCAGCTCGGCACAAGGTCGGGCCAGTCACAGCGGCCGGTCTCAGGGTTGAAGGCCAGACCCATAGCGCACTCCATCTCGAAGGCCTTGCCCTCCACGCACATGCGGTACTTGCCGCAATCGGAGCGGGTCGCTAACGGCGACGCGAAGAATCCATACTGGGTCTTGCAATCCGCGGTCGATACGGCTCGCTCTGCACAGAACATCAAAACAACGTCACGGTATTGTTTGCATGTAGACTGTAGTATAGAGTAAGATGAGAGCAGGCATGTAGGTACGTACGAGGCTGGTCGTTGTATTCGCACTGGGCATCCGACGGATACGCGCACGGGTAGGTTGGCCACTGCACGTCGCGCATGAAGTACAGCCCGTCGGGACACGTCTTGTACGTCGCCTTGTACGCCTGCAACGTTCAACATTCAACATGTACATCAAACTAATATATCATAGCATATTTTAAACAGTCACGTTAAAAGCGGCGTTACACTCACGTTACACTCTACGTAGGAGTCGCAGCTGCCCTGTATCTTGTAGTACGTGTTGTACTCCTTGCACACCTCGTCACCCACAGCGCCATAGGGCACTACTTGTACAGCGTCTATAATAATAGAAAAATATTAAATAAATATAATTAAGTAAATATGTGTAGAAAATAAAAAAAATTATACGTAAATTATTAAAAATAAACTTACTCGACACCGCAGCAAGAAGGGCGAAGGTAGCGAAGAAAAACATTTTTGTAAGTGGAGTATTGACTCTTTCGTAGACTTTAAAGCAATGATAGGAAAGTGACTCTGCGAACTCTATTTATACGTAAAACTGATATTCTAATGATGAACTATTAATTAGTAAAACACCACAAGTATTTTTTATAATAATTAGTGGTCAAATAATGACCTGTAATGTCAAGACCAGAATTATAATGACCTGCCTTGAGTAACATTTCTATTGCAATGGGGTTCTTCTTCCGTAAGATCTATATATCATTAGCTGTGTTTTTATTATATTTTAACACCTTCAATGCCACTATAATTCATACATGTAATAAGATAAACTCTCGGGGTCAGTCGGTGGCGCTGAACGTGTTAAAGAATAATTACAGAATTTTTCCCCAAAATATAAGTAATACGCTTAAATCTGTAATATTAGACTTTAGAGTAGGTGAAAAAAAATTTATTGTTACTCTTAGTTGCTAAGGAAAGATTGAAATATCAATTACCTGCTACAAACTAGAATTTACATGTCAGATTACGATGTATAGATAGTAAAACAATTTTTAACTATAATATGTTTATAATAACAATGACTTTTACATTCTGATGGTTACATTATCATAAAATAAAATTATACTACACTAGACGAAGTATCACTGAGCGGTTGGCATCGTATTAACATTTAAATTAGACTTAGAAGTTTTCCTCAATGTCAAGAGGTTCGACGCCTGTTGGGGTCACAAACTCATCGTACAATTCTGGTGTGACCGTGCTGAATAGACGTTCGAATTTAGGTGGTGAAGTCGTGTATTGATATCTTGAAGGGCCGACTGTACTAATTATAGGTTGGCCTTTGGCCCATTTCTTGGCTAGTTCTTCTTCAACGGCACGTCGTTGTTCTTCCGCGACTCTTGATCGAGCAGCAGCGCTCTTTAGTTCTGCTGGACAAGCTTCAATATCATCAGCAGCCACGCATGATCCAGTCACCTCGTCGAAAGCGGAGTAGCCACCGCAGCTGAGTCCTCGCGGCTTACCTTCGATGCAGAGGAAGTATTTCTGGCAGTCAGCTGCAGATCTGGAAGTGTTAGCGAAAATATATAACTAGAGTAATTAATCTGTTATTAAAAGATAAGAAGAACGAACAATAGTTAGTATTATTTAGAACACGCGAGTATCCACTGGCGAAAGGCCTAAAACATGAGAGTGTTGACAATATGCTTTTGTTTACAAGTTTCGACGCATAAATGAGAAAGTCACTGAAGCAACTCGCTAAGTAATTGTTTGCGAACGTCAAGCTACAATAGTGGACATTTAAAACTTTTGTAAGACTGCAGCCTCGTCTATTATCCTAGCCTACGTTAAGTCAACAGTTCAATATTATTGATTAGAAGCAAAATTATTATTATTAACTACCAGTTGTCACACGCAACTACCTATGTGTTCTATCAGACTATGTTCTACATCTATGCCAAATTTCAACTCGATCGGTTCAGCCGTTCTGGAGATACCTTCAAACAAACATTCGCATTTATAATATTAGTAAGATTTCTCTGTTTCTTTTCTAATGAGATAAAAATGGGTATATATTTTTTGTGTGAAATGAATTTCGCAAACCCTTATATGTATAACCAGTAAAATATCATACTATTTAGCACGTAGTAAAATTGTGATAGGTTGTTTAGTTGTATGCCGGATAGGCCTTATGCAAACGTTTAGCGGCTGGTATTTCTAACATCTTACATAATACAAGGTCGAATATCATCCGTTGACATTTAGCCGCGACCTGGCACCCGATGACCGGTCGTATTGGGCAACCGGTTCTCTTTGTACAATAATATAATTTTAATCATCAATTTGTGTATTATACTGTAAATTATACCGTTGACGCATCACTATTAGTGTCACTAAACAAAAACTGAAGATAAAATTAGTTTCAATTGTTTAATGAGTTGTGACCCTAATTTGATTTTGTACATTGATAGTTGTACCTTTTTCATTTGTTTTTGTCTAAAAAAATAATTGCTGATTATGAAAATCTAATATCTCATGGCCATTATTAAAAATGATTGTCTTTTTATTTAGAAAATCGACGATATATTACTATAAAAAGAAGCTATTTCTTGTCTTTCAAAAGTTTTATCATCAATTTTAAACTAGTTTGAACACGTGTATGTTTATTTAAATTACTTTTTATTCTCAATGACCTTTGAATTAATTACTGTTGTACCTGGAAGAGCAAGAAACCTCTATAAGCGAGAATAAATGTCCGGTTACGACGGACGACCTCCGTAAGCGAGAAACATCGGGTAAGAGAGAAACTTCTACAATCAGGTTTGATTTGATTACTCTATTATTGTATAAAAACACAACAATTTCTTTACCAATCTTATACATTCCTATGAAATGGTCTTGCAATTTAAGTAGTAACTTAAGTAAGTCTTAAGCTTGTGTTAAAGTTGTATTATCAATGATTTCTCACCTGTAGAACCTGTAGCCGGCGGGTGGTCCCAGTTCCTTAGAAATCGGCACCTCTGGACATTTAAAGCCGAGGAAGGCTGGAAGCATATACGATAAAATTAGCAACACTATTTTAATCGACGTTTTGTCTATTTTGCTTTCTTATGTCAAGGGAATAACCAAAAATGGAAAATTAAAATTTAAGTGTACATTTCTGTTTAAAAAAAGGAAAACTAAGCTTTTTAAGATATTCCTAATCATCATCATCAGCTCACTATTCGTCCCCACCGAGGAGCTCGGAGCCTACCCCAAGTTAGGGGTGACTAGGCTATATAATATAAATAATTCCTAATAATAAAATGTTATTATTACAAAGAGAAACCAAAGTATTATTAAAAAAGTGTGAATTTGATTAAAAAAAACACGATCACATAGGTCAATAGGATGGACAATCAATAGGTATCTATTCTATAGTTTAAATGTCATACAGTGAATCCGGGGTGTATTTGGAAAATTAATATTCTTAATTATATTGCCTTTTATTTGGTATAATGAAGTGCTTGTATACTTTATGAGCGGTTTTTTTTTAATGGAATAATTAATTTAAAATTTGAATATATTCGATTTGAATTTGAAGGTGGGTTTAGTTTATCTTAGTATTAATAAAAAATTGTTTTGGTGACGATGAGAGAACTGCCAAAGACCTTACTGTATTGATCATAATCAGCGCACTACACGTCCCCACTGAGGGGCTTGAAGCTTACTCTAAGTCAAGGATGACTAAGCCATAGTCAACCAAGATGGCCCAGTGGTTGCCTTCATACATATCTTTGAAATTTTAAGGTTCGAACCCAGGACCAATGCAATTTGATGAATCACCAGGTATGGTTAATGGCAAGTTAATTTATAAATAAATATTAATATTCACCTTCAGCATCACAGTCGGTGACCTGGTCGGGCCACTCACACCTGTACGTATCAGAGCTGAAGGCCAGACCCTCAGGGCAGGTGAAGTCGTACCCCACTCCATTCACGCAGTTCCTGAATCCGCTGCAGTTTTTAGCATCGCCGATTTTGATGTAACCAAATTGATGGGGGCAGTCCGCTGTCGGCTGAGCTGGCTCTGGAATTGCAGAATTATTACGTAATTTGTCGTTACCTCGATTCTCCACAGACAAGCACAAGACAATCCTAAATAAAGGTTAATTGTGATCTGCACTCATAAGCGTCCACCCAGAGGTTCAATCCTGCGTCCTACTACCTAAAATGTGACTAGGCCTTTGGTAGTTGACGAGTATGACACATAGTACCTACAGGTTACAAGTCCAGTGCTTAACGCTCTGTTATTTGAACTACGAACAGCATAGACTTCCTTGTATGCCTTTTAACTTCTTTTGGTGACAACGACATTATTGGCATAGGAAGATACTGAGATCAATCATTCCTTTGTGCACTGTGCTTGTAGTTATCGTGTAGTAGTTGTCTTGTAATCATTTAATTAACTGAAGTATTTCTGACTTGTTTTGCATCAGTTTGATCTGCAATTCTCTATATGTAACGCATTGTGATTCAAGATAGGTAATAGATTTATTTGGTACTGCTAAGTTCTAATCCGAATAAATATTAAAATATACACTGTAAATTGTAATTCAAAATGTAATTCATACTTTTATAAAGATTTTTGAAAAGTGTTTTCAAATATACAATTTGATATACTGTCATAGAAAACTTGTAAGACTGGATGTTTGAGGAAAACTTTAAAATATTATTATATAAACATTTATTTTAACATATCAAGTTACATACAGACATTAAAAACTTATTCTTTAAATCTAGCAATAATAATTATTTATGACCAAATATTTAGGGCTAAGTTTTATCTTAAACTATCGTTTACGTATTATGTTCTTGATATAAAAACCTTGAATTTTTTCTCTTCTTTAAGTCTTCTGTTATTATATTTTTTCAGTAATAACGTATTAATGGTTTACATAATTATTATTTAGTGGCAGGTATAAAATGTTTTAGTGTTTGAAACGTGTTTTAACATTTAAAAGAATTCACGACTAGGATATAAATAAGTAGCGCTTGATTCTAAGAAGAGCAACCTGTGTTGAACATGTTGAAACATTTTTTTTATTTTTTACATTAATGTGTATTTAAATATAAGAGGTTTTTGTTTTTGGGATTCAAGATCGTGGATTTTTTACGGTATTTAAAAATTTCGTTTACAAAATATCTAACAGTTCTTTGGTTTAAGATGCATATTTTTTGTTATTGTTATTTCATTATCATTCGCTCTAAAAATTCTTTTTTTTTGTATTTTTTTGTAAAATATTAACTTACTAATATTTATTTTACCATTCCAACTAAGCTATATGCTTGTGTTAGGGCATGGTTTACGACAATAGTCGAACCTTCGACCACGTGGTCGGAATTTAGATCTCTAAACCATTAGGCTAATGACGCATTAATTACATGGTTCCGTAATTACAAATATTACGATTTATTTAAATATAATGTTTAATTATCACTAAAATGTATCTTCTATATGTCTGTAAAATATAACTGAAATTAAATAAAATAAGTAAAAATTATTATACATAGAAATAGAATTTAAAATATGTTAAATATCAAAGGTGAGAAGTGTTGCATGTAACTATTGCATTTATAACGTAAACATTACAAATATGAAGTGCTTAATAAAGTAAAGAGACAGTGACTATTTTAATAATGTTTACAATATGTTAAAGGATTTGTTTTATTAATTCCTCGTTCTTACATCAACATTAGAGAGTCGTTTGCGATTTTAAATTTACGTATGTTTTTACGCTAGGAAAAGTTTGTTTACAAATATTGCACACGAAATTATATATCTAATAGAAGCTTGCAAATATTCAGATATTGTTTTGTTATCTTACTAAATAATAAGAATGTGATGTAACGAATTGTTTGTTAGCGTTTTTTTAAGAATTCCATACAAGGATTCATCATAAGTATATCATCGCCATATTAGACTTCCTTTTTTATATTATAAGGTGGCAAACGAGCGAGCGGCCGCCTGAAATCGCAGATATAGCGAAGTGACCGTTGCCCATAGACATACGCAATTGCATATGCGTTGCCTACCTTTAATCGACAGAGGAGAAAGAACAGAAAGAAAATATATTTCCTTTCCATGCATCCTCTCACCCGGAAAGTCCACTTCCACTTCCCATCCTTTCCTTATAAGAAAAAGGGTGGGAAGGGAAAGAGGACTAAATTAGGCCTCCGGGACGCACACTAATCAGACGAAACGCGGAATGGATTCCACTTCACGCCTGTCTTCTGTGTGGTCGTGGTATTTCACCGGGCGAGCCGTGCCAATTCGTGCGAAGATGTTAAAGCGGGCTCTACCACTGTTAGAACCTTATATACTGTACATATTTTCATTTCACAAAAATACATAAGACTGCGAAGATTTTATCAGTAGATTTTTGTTAATGTACTAATATTTCGTGTAACATTCCAAGTAAGCTCAAGACTTGTGATAGGATATGGTTTACGACAATGCACGAACCTACCATGTGATCGTGAATTCGTACCCTAAAACATTAGGCTATTGGCGCTATCAAGGACAACAAAGATTGTTAACTAGCTAATTTTCTTATTTTTCTTTAAAAATATTATGAAATGTTTTAAAAATTTGATTAATACGTACGTAAGGATGAGCGCGCGAGACAGGGAACATCAGTGGGATACTGACAGGGGTACACGTTGAACCTCACATTTGGGTTGTATCTTAAACCATCTGGACATAGCTTCTCCTCTGCAGTACCATTCTGTTTGAAGAAACATAAAATAAGTATATACCAAGAGTATACTTCGGCCATTTAAAATTACATAATACCTTTATTGTTATGAGTTACAACATATAGAATATCTGCAATTTCGAAGTAGCAAGTTACAAACTTCAATATTATGGGTAGTAAAATGGCAATATTCTAAAACTAGACATTTGTATGTCGTTAAATTTGATTGCTATAATCATAGGTAATACTTACCAGGCATTCAATGTATCTATCGCAGCTACCTGGTACCGGGTATCGTTCATTCTTCTCAACACATCTCACGTTAACTTTCGGAGCTGATTGAGATTCATATTGATCTGGTGCCTGAACGTAAGATTGTCTGGTGACATCAATATTACCAATACTACTACCGGAGTCGGTTACACCAGTTATCACTTCACTATCTTCATCATAGTTCCTCGCAGCTTCATTAGGCTCGTTTGGTTCAATGCCCGCGGTATAGCCGCCACCTTCGCCGGTACCAACTACATCATCGAAATTAACTTCACCGCCATTGTCGAAGTTTTCTTCGACAGCTGCCAACTGTTCTGAATATGAATTCTGCGCGTTTACTGCTGTGGACAATTTATTTTTTAAAATACCAATATTAAAAAGTTTTTTTCGATGCATCGGTAGGTAATCCTGTGGAAGGTATAAGTAATCTGTACAGATTTAGACTAGAATATGATGACCGATTCCGTAGCCCCTATTAGGAAGGAATATTTAAGATTTACTGATATTTAGGTGCAATTAATCTATACTTATAATATAAACATAGATTTGCATTGTTGTATATAACGAATAAACTAAAAAAATTACTAAGCCGAAATCAAAAATTATTGTCTATTAGGTAGCTGTATAATATTTATTACTAGTTTTTATTGAATTCCCCGCGAACAGTCACGGGCAAAAGCTAATCTTACTATAAAACAAATAAGCGTCATCATCACAAGTTGTGTCGTGACGCACACATCGTAATTATACATCAATAAATCACAATTGATAATATCTTTAAAATTATTTTTTCGGCACTTATCATGTATTCAAATATCGAATGCAAAAGGTTAAAATTAATATGACACAGTGACCCTATGCTCAGTCAACGAACACCCACATTACATCATATAAATGGTGATAAAACAAAAGAGAAAGCTGTGATGTGAAGGAAGAAATATTCGTAATGTTTACTGTACATAACGTATATACGTTACTAGTATTCTGCAAAGTTTAATGTAAATATTTTCATTTCATTGTTCTTGTATTTGATTTTACAGTACGCATTTCGCCTACGAGTCGATCGAGATGTTTCTCGACTATTCCCAAGCTAATGTAACAATAAGCATATTTCTTCTGGTATTTAAATGTAGGGAATGCAGGGAATAATAACAAAAAATAATAAAATATTTACATCGAAGAATTTACAATAATATGATCTGTGTAATCGAAAATTTAACCTACTTTTTAGAAATTAATTCTCTCTATGATATGTTTTTTCCTTTAGCCTTTGTTTCCTTTCTTTGTCTACTTTAAAAGTATAAATTTGTCTAACAGTGGCCTATGGAAATTAAAAAGATATTGTCCCTTAGTCAATCAAATTGTTTCTTATATTTATAAGCGAAACACATACAATTTTGCATATAATCTTTTCATGTTACAAATATTTTAAATGCGAATGTTTAAATGGATTTATGGATGTTTATTTGAAGCTATCTTCGGTACAGCGAATCGACGACAGCGACAAATCTTAATGAAATTTGGCACAGATGTCACATTGTCTAAAATTCTTATAATGCCACGCAGATAGAGTCGCGGGCGACAGCCAGTGCTATGATAATATTAAGAGCAATTTACAACATAAAAGCTGTTCGTAAACACAATGTTAACAGCATGCTTTAACGAATATGTTTTCTAACGTGATTAAATTGTACAATAAGCTTTAATATGTTAATTTCATATTGAAAATCTGTTGTAAATATCTTATATAACTACGATAAAAATTAATATAAATAGTATTCCTAGATATTATATAAAGATAGACAATTTATTATATTATTATATTTATATTTTACATAGTTTGAATTAATAATAAATTAGTAATATTTAATTCGTTACCGGAATATTGATTGGATGATATTTCAAGATGATTTAAAAATAAATGCCATATGTTAAGACGAGTTTATGTTGATTTGATTCTTGTCCTTTAACAATTCGAGGTCGTTTTCAAATTCAGAATTTTTATTTTATACTATCTGTTCCTCGCCACTCCGTCCGCGCGGGATTAGAAAATAAATATTAGTAGCGTATGTGTTCTACCAGACTATGTTCTATGTGTATGCCAAATTTCATAGATATTCGTTGAGCCGTTCTGGACATACCTTCAAACAAACATCCATCATTCGCATTTATAATATTACTATGATAGCTGTCGCCCGCTACGAATTAATAAGAAAAACTTAATTAGTTCATCCAGACTTTGTTCTATATCTATGCCAAATTATATCGAGCTCCATTCTGTTCTGGAGATATCTTCTAACTTACAACCAACCATACATCCAAACATTCGCCATTATAATATTACTAAGATTTTAGTTTCTATCTACAAATTTTTATCAAAATCAACATTTGGATTGGTATAAATTTAATTGCTACCAAATTTTTAAGCTACAAAAGCTAGTAAGTAATTATTTTAGTAAGAAATCTAAAGGAATATATTTTGCATACAAAAGATTATTCTATATGTATAGTACTCATAAAATATTTGTAGTTATTTAACACAATACAACAATTTTATTATTTCCTATTTACGTAATGGATTATCATAAATTTGAATATTAATAAATCCTATCTTCTTTATAATTTGTCTTACTACAATGTTAGACATTAATTAAGCTATTGTTTACAATAGCAATACGCGTTGCTTTATACAACTTGATTATTCCATATAGTTACTTGTTTTATTACGTGAAACCTTTTTTTACAAAAAAAAAAATAATTAATATTACAAAAAAAAAAGTTATTGGAACATATGAGTGATATCGTTATGAGATTATTATAAAAGATTTTTTGTTAAAAAAAGTGAGTAATAAAAAATAATAAAGTAAGATAAGTCATATCCCATGTATATAAGGATTCGTGTAGAATTTTCATTAATAATATCAAAAAAAATTCAAACTTATTAAAACAATTTTTTACCGTAAATAATATAATTAATTAATATGTAATAAAATGTATTTTAAGTATTTATTAAATATGTTTATACTATATAATAGAGATTAATATTTATAACTTACTCGCGCAGACGCAAAACAATATCACAAATGCGGTCTTCATGTCGACCACTCAGGCAACACGATAAGATTGATACTGGCAACGGTGCGCTCTGCGGCGCGGAGATGATGAACGACCTTGGGGACAGACCGCCTTGCGAAACCCCGTCTCATCACACACCAACCACACCCTGTTACATCATCCCTACACTGTCATATTCGTAAAAGCTGAAGAAATTTTATTGTGTAGAAATGTTAACTTGCAGTTTTCTGCAGCTTTACTTACGTACAGATTAATTTCAAAATGTCTATAAACAAACAGAATGAAAGGTGAATAGCTGTTTAGTTAGCTAGCTTTCTTTTGACCAAATCACCACTTAAGATCACAAGGGGTCGTGGACAAATTTTGATTTTTAGCCTTTTCTAAAAGAACAGTAAAGAATGGAGTTTTTAGATCCATTTAGGATTTGGTGTTGCAAATTACGATACGATAGCGTTCGTAGGTTCGATTTGACAGTCGACGTTATCATGGTAATGTCGTAAATCATATGTAAGCACAAGGTTTTGCTCGAGAACTTCTAGAAATGTTGCAGAAAATAAACAAAAACATTCAAATATATTAAATAAAAAACTTTTTGTTCAGTTCTTGACACTTAATGTTGATAACGTGAAGTCAGTCACCTTCCGGAATATTTGTGGGTTTAAAGTCATAAATTTATTTTAATCCGATTAATAGTATCCGAGATTAGCTTGTTCATATAACTTCCATCGTTGTGACGTCACATGTTCGCACGTATTCCGCGATCCAATATTGTGACATTGAATTCTGATGTATTCTCGCGACATTTGATACGCGATCTTGAAATGAACACTGGTAATATGATGTTACACTACACAATTATAAAGTTTCAAGGCTAAGGGCAGCTTCCTGTTAATGACTAGAACTTAGATTTTTTATTAATATTACTAACTATCAATATAACAACAGATTAAGATCTAGGGATACTTTCAAATAATAGTATATGAAGTATCGTAAGTTAAAGGCATTTAAGTTAAAATTTGTTTATGACAATTTTTGGCGCGTTGATGTCCTTTGTATGGGAAAAACGAGTACATTTTCGAACAAGATATCAATAAACCAATTTTCGCAATTTATGATTTAACCTCGTCACCATGCAACTTCTATTTCTTTAATTTGTTAAAAGAAGCATTAAAGTCGCAATCAAATGTCTAAACGAACAACTTAAACCTAACTTAAGTTCGTCCTAAGTACCAATAAAATTCTGAAAATCGAACCTAGAAAATTTTCGTATTATTTAATTTTAATAATTTTTTTGCTGAGAAAAGATCACTATTTAAGCGTCTTGATCTTGTATGTCGACCTCTTACCTGCTATAGTTCGTTTGTTTTAGCGTGAACCAAAACGTCTAGAGTCGATCTTGACCTTTACATTTATTGGTCAAGTTTATTCACATATTTGAAGTCGAACTTTGCCGTCTAACACATCTTTTAAATATTTATTGTTTTAAAATGCCTGACATTTACGGATTCTGTTAATTTCTTCAATAAGAAAAATAACCTTACAATTAGGCTGTTTAAAGTTTGCATTGTTTGTTAGATGTATGAAAATCAGTAACTTGTTTCCTTTTGCATTTAAAATAATAATAAAATACAACAATTTCTTAATACTGGATTTAATAACGCAAACGTAATATCATCTTCATCAGCTCACTATACGTCCCCACCGAGGGGCTCGGAGCCTACCTTAAGTTAAGGGTGATAAGGCCATAGTCAACCACGCTGGCCAAGTGCGGGTTGACTTCACACATATCTTTGAATTACTTCTCAGAAATGTGCAGGTTGCATCACGATGTTTTCCTTCACCGTAAGAACATCGGATAAATGTACATATGTAAATCGGAAATCGAAAAACACATTGGTACAAGGCGGGATAAGAACCCAGGGCCTGCAGATTGCAAGTCAAGTGCTTGACCACTGAGCCACCGACGCTCCTAAACATAATATATCAGAGGAAAATTACTCACCATTTTGAAAATCATTTACCATTTTTGGGCATTACTAAAAAGATAGGAAAAATACATACATACATGAATCGTAGATTACCAAAAAAATTTATAGAATAAATATTAATTGGCTGGAAATATTGATTTTCTAAATAAATTACTTATTGAAAATTAAATGAGGAAATTCTTGAAAATGCATAATATATAATAAGGGGATTAACAAACTTATTAAAATATAATATATTTCTTTATCATGTAGTTATTGGTATTTAGCAAAATTCTTTATATTAATTTAAATATAATTATGTATATTATATTTATGACCCGGATTAACATTTTTTTATGATTATGAAGACTACCAGGCTCTTCTTACGTATGGAATACATAAATACGCTATAAATGTTGGACATAACTTACGTTAGATCATTTTTAGAATGCCAATTTAATTAGTCATCGCTGTATTAACATTGATTATAACGTATTTTCGATTTAAATATGGACCTACCTCACAAGTAGTGATGGTTCTATCAAGGCTAAAGGATATCTTAACATGATGTTGATTCTGTTTTGACAATTTCTTCTTTTTACCCAATAGATAATCACTGCTGAGTTCTAGTCTCTCCTATTGATTGTTTCAAACATTCTCTGAAACCTTTCAACCTCTATCAATTCACCTATCACAATATTGTAATGTCGTCTGTTCTTGTGAATCTATAGTGCTGCGACATGTCACATTATATGCCCATCATTTTAAGTCTTTTCTGGTCCATGAAATACATTATGCAATAAGTGACTATCGTTGTGAGAGGATTATGTCAAGATTTTTATTATGATCATAAGGATTATGAAAGATTTAACAATGGTAGAGCCCGTTTTACATCTTCGCACGAATTGGCCCAGTTTACCCGGTGATAGACCACGACCACACAGAAGAAATGCGTCAAGTGGAAGCAATTCCGCGTTACGTCTGATGAGTGTGCGTCCCGGAGGGCTAATTTAGTCCTCTTTTCCTTCCCACCTTTTTTCTTAAGGAAAGGATGGGAAGTGGAAGTGGACTTTCCGGATGAGAGGATGCATGGAAAGGGAATATATTTTCTTTCTGTGCATCCTCTCCTCATAGGCATCGCATATGCAATTGCGTATATCTATGGGCAACGGTCACTTCGCTATATCAGCGATTTTAGGTGGCTGCTCGCTCGTTTGCCACCTTATGATATAAAAAAAAACTTATGTTGTGGTGTATGCAATGGAACAACTTAAAGTTTATGAGCTTCGTGTGCTTATTGTTAGTACAGAAATGATCTTAATTTGCAATAATTTATGAGATACGTGTCCCTAATATTGTAAGTTCTTAAGCTGTATTGTGTTAGTCATAGAATAATTGATTTTGGCAGAAATTCAATTTAGACCAGACACGTGTTTTTAGTATTCTGATGTTCAAGAGCTGATTCACTAGATTTATAGTACATTGTTAATCCCAGATTTGTTGTTTCTTTGACCTTGATCTTATGTAAGGGCCTTAACTCTTGTAATATTCTACACGTTAAGATAAAAATTATCCCTTATGATTCAAGTTTACTGTTTAATAAAAACATTTTTACGCTTTTAAAGTTTGATTTTCAGCCAAAATAACATAAACCTTAAAGTCACGTTATTGATTATAAGTAAATACGATTGGCATTTTCTTTATTCGATTTTCCTTAATTTAAAGTTTTTTTTTATGAAACTCATTTTATCATTATGAGATTTTATATTTCATTCCTAACATTAACATTCTTTAAATGTTATAACTCATCGAAATGTTTTTTATGGGCCAAAGGTTTTATAATGGCGGCCACGTACGGTTTCACGTAATTAGACCTCCCACAAAAAGACGGTCGATCTGTTCAAGGTCGTACAAACCTATTGTCTAAAAGGTGTAGGGGAGCATTATTTATGGAGATTTTTGGGAGAGGCCACATTTTAATCTCTCATGCTATGCCTGTCTTTGTCTGTTGAACCATGATTATGTGGAAAAAAATGTGCATGATCGTCACCTGCACCTATTTATTGTTTCGGTGTCGAATAATAGAAAATTGGGGAAAATCCAGTTTGAAATTGCGATTTAATATAAAAGGAATTCAATATTTAAGAATAAAACATATCCGCCTGCTAAAAAATTGCAGCAATTTCTGAAATAAATTTGTTTGCGGAAGAATTTTTACAGTATTTTATATATTCACTGGTAACTCGACCCTTCAGTACGGTAGCTCATTGTGTTAACTTTGAGTGAATTACAATGCCTTAAGGACAGTATAAAAATCAATTTTCCTTACGATAAACGATAAACGCTTAACTTGACGATGTGCTGAATAATAAAATTGAATGAACATGCTGATATCAAAGTATATTCAAAAATTCTGCCAACAATTTATGGAAAATTGGTCATCACACATTGATCCGAATGGGGAAAACCGTTGCCAGAATCTTGAATTTCAAAACACGTACACACTAGAGATCAGCTTCCTTATCTCGGCCCGCTAACTGATTCGTATTCATGCCCGACACCTGCCGCCATTTTGCATATTTTGGGATTTCACATTCTGTTGATTCATTCGCTATAGGCTGTAATACTTTAAGACAACTTCTCTGTGACATATTTTTGATAAAAGTTAAGATTTTAGTATGATGGAGACAAAGACGAAAGAGTTTGTAGATTGCAAGGGATGTCCCCTATTTCTCAGATTTGATAAGAAATCTATAAAGAGAATCCTTTTTTTTCCAGAGAGGAATGCTTTATGCATACTCCGCGCCCCGGGGGGGACGCGGTAGTTATGTGGGATTCTCCTCCATAGCGGAGGCATACCCACTAAACCTCTCTGTTCCTCCAACGCATCGGGACGGGATCACGGGCACGCTTTCGCTCTCGTCCGCGGCATGAAGAGAATCCTTGTTTTTTTACAATATTTTATGATAGTTAAGTTAAATGATCGTTTTTTTTACAATTTTATTACTTAAAAGACACCTGTTGTTTACATCTATGCTGAAGATTGAGTTTTATTTTTAATTAGAAAAATTATGATTCTATACAGTTGAACATCCGGTATCCTTTCATAGTAAATACTAAAACTCATCGTTTAAATATCAAAATTATCATCGACTTATAAATATTTTCTTGATGATTTACAAATAATTCTATTATAAAATCATGACACAAATCAAATATAGAGTTTCCTTCCCTTTATGACACATTGTAATAAAATACCGTAGAACAAGGAAACATTTGTTAAAGGTATGATGTGGCTTGTTATTGAATGCCAGGAACAAGGTACAAGGTGTTGCTTACTCATCTAGCAAGGTTTGAGTATCTTTAAGTTTTATGAAATTTAAGTAAAAAAAAAAAAAATTAATTAGTGGCCTGGGTGGTCCAGACTATGTTTTATATCTATGCCAAATTTCAACGAAATCCATGTAGCCATTCTGGAGATACCTTGTAACAAATATCTATCTATCTTCTTACTATATTTTAGATCTGACATTCACGATGTTTTTTCCCAGTCAGGCCGTGTATCTCAGGGAGTCCACTAAAGGCCCGGCCGTCTAATTATTGTCGTCAAAATTCCATCGAAATTAATTTAATACTTTAAAATGGATCTTTTTGATAATAAGAACATGCTATTTAATCTATCATGTCATAGTTGCCAGGTAAAAGTGACGTTTGGTTGTTTTCGTAAACAATGAATGAAATATTATTCCCGTCATTAACCTGTTTCATTTTAATTTTATCTTTACGAACTTTTAACAAGTTAATATTGAATGAAGTGAAACATATCGTGACACAAAACAACATCGATTCATCGATCTATGTAAACTTATATCGCAAAATATATTTTACTAATGTTGAATATTTACAAACAATAAATCAAGAAGGGATTATTATAAGATATTACTCAAATGGTCACGACGGAGGGCCGGACTCAAAAAATGAGAATGAAGTTGAACAAAACACTGAAACACAAACTAAAAATGTGTCAACTGAGAACTTTGAAACTCAAACTGAGAACTCCGGAGCTCAAACTGATACTCAGAACGAAGTTCCTATTGAAAGGAGAAGTCGTATCGAAACATATGATGAGTTTGCTAGATACAGAGACTTAAATCGACCTCCTGACACACATTACCCACCGGGACCTCGTCCTGGGTACAGACGATCTTGTGCTGATTGTATACAATCATTTAGTGTTTTAATAACTCTTGAAGTGTGTCTGTTTTCATGTATATTTAATAAGTAAACTCCTTTGTGTCTCAATAAAAATTTAGTTGTTTTAAGATGGCTAAATTTTTCTTATGAACTTTTAGACATTTTAGTTAGAACCTGGCGCGTGAATGACGTGCTTTCGTTACAAATTCCAGTGCCAGAATCAATAGTGATGGGACATAAGCATCAAGACTTTAGTAAGGCTAGTGTTGTGCCAGATTATCTTCCTAGATAGATAATCTTCCTCTTACTATTGATTTTATCTCATACCCCTTCGAATATGTTTTACCCTTTCCATTCCTTTTTTGTTGTTGGTTTGTTTACTAGCCTTAGATTCAAGGTCTATTTTTATCTTACCAAAACATTTTGTAATAACGAATTCAATCTTTCGTGAGACATTATGATAAAGTTATAAAAAAACGGCTAAAACACTCACGTATCCGTCCGGTGGCCTTCAACACCAGTTCCACTCACTCTGATGAAGGGCCAAAGATGGCGAAAGACGAATTTACAAATAAATTTTCTAAGGTAAAGATAAATAAAATAAACAAATTGAATTTCATATTTAATTCAGATTACAGCTGTATATTCGTATGAAAATTTGACATAAAAGATAAAATACTTAGCACAATATTACATGTTGATAAATACATTTTTCGTAAATGATCACATTAAGAGACTTTTCAATAGGTATTGCGTTTTAAAACTAAAGGGCACTTGATGCCAAAAGTGAAAACTCACCACATGCGTACACCATAACCAAAAAAACCCCATTTTAAAGCTAAAATAAACTAAAAATAATATTACTTATATTCGCAAAAGTTTAACGTCAAAGTTTCTAAAAGAAAAAAAATCTAACTTTACAATAACTTAAAATAAACTTAAAGTAATGAACGTGGTGAGCTTAAACACTTTTATTACTATCACTGTAAACATCATCACTTATCACATAACTTAAGTCACATTCTAACTAATTAGGCTGGATACAAATAGCTTAGCTCGAATATAAAAAATTTTGAAAATTCGCTTTCTCAAAATATTTCAATATATTAATACAATTCGTTATAATTACAGCAAGATTTTAAAAAATTAACTTACAACTAAAATATAGAGACGTTATATTAATCGATTATAAACCGTTATGGTTAAGGCAATATGATATATTGTGCAGGCAAAATGCAAAATAGAACAAAGGCTATAAACCATTCTGAAACACGTTACATAACTAACAGTGTGCTTCTGAGACCGAAATCTCCGTTTAAAATAATGACCGGGATGAAGATATATTTTATACAGAGTTTGGTCTCAGAAACCAACTATTACATAATTATTAATCTCAGATTATATGATGAGCAATTCAGACCTTCGGAATAATTAGAGTATTGTTATTACAGCTTTTTCATGATGTATAAGAGAGATATGTTTTTCTATTATTTTGGCAGTAGAATCTAACAGATAACTCAAAACGCAAATTCTGTTAATATTATTTATTTTAAAAATAATACGTTTACATCTTGAAACTACACACACGACGGCAATTACTATGGATAAATTACCAAATATTCAGTACAATGTTAACTGTACACTATTATTTTTTTAATACTGTAAGTGAAACGGAACGTAACTGTAGCATATTCTAGAGTTGTCACCTGTCAGTGCTCACCATATAAAATGTCAATTTACATTCAAATTACATTCGAAACTTTGAAATGATTTGAAATCATCTAAACGCTTTCTGAGTAAATCAAATATTATTCTAAATAAATCTTACAAATTTAAAATTGATTACAAAGGGTCTCCAAACTATTTTTACACAAAATAAAAAAAAATATTTGACATTCTTTTACATTTTAATTAAAAAAAAATACAAAGAAGAAACTTTCATATGTTTGTAAATGATTAAACAAAAAATAGTAAGGAAGCGAATTGAAATTATCAAAATTATTTTAACATTACACAACTTAGTTGTCCCTGAGTTTGTTGCAAGTTTAATTAAAATTCGCTATAAAATGTTATGAAAAAAGCGGTCAACTGTGCGAAGACAGGACAGGCCGCTATTATTGCGGCCAAAGATTGGAGACCCCCGCGTTGACTTGTTAAAGCCAGCAAACAGCTTTTATTAAGAAGTACTTAAATAAAATTAGTCAAGTACCTTCTTAATTGAAACCATTAAAATCAAAATATTTACAAGGAAACAAACTGTTTTTTTTTACATTTAAAATAAGAAATTATTTATTTCTAATACGAAATATATTAAATTCTCACGACTGTTACTTCGCCGTTTAACATAAATGTATTCTAATATTGGAGAAAGGTTTTGTTCATTGATTTATTTGGTGTATTATATTAAATTAGTATAAAAACTCAACTTTAGCAATTTACGTCTTATTTACCTTTAATCGTTCTATTTTCGTCTTCTACGTCATTAACTAGTATTTATTTAACGAAATGTGACATAATTTTGAGATGTTTATTCCTTAAACTATCAATTTGGACAGATTATGTAACGGTATTTAGATAAAGACGAATATGAATCAGGAAGTCAATATTGGTCGATTAAATTGTCATTAATTAGGCACTTATCGAGTATATGTCTGCAAGATATAATGAGTACAAAATCTAATAGATTAAATGCTATCGGGTATAGAAGTAAGCAAATACGTCTTAATTTTAACATGATATGTTTCGTTTCGTTTAGTTTTTTTTTAACCAGGGCAAAAGTCGACATACTTATATGACCCGGCGGACATAAGTAAAACAACGTTGCTATAGCCCACAAGGACCCCCTGCCAATATCAAAAAAGAGCAACAAGGTGTTTTTTTTGGACTGTATAAATCGACAAGGATATCTGTCTCGGTAGGAATAAGTCAAACTTAATTATGATAGCCCACTAACGCTCCCCAGTCAATATCCAAAAAAGTGACAAGATACTTTTCGTAGCCTTGCTGTCATGTCACTTTTTGTCATTTTCTATTCCTAATTAGGTTTTATATATTTTTTTTAACAGAGCTAACACCAGCGACTCTCTCACAGGCTCAGATATCCTTGTTTGGCTATAAATATTTTTGACAGAACAATATGCGATAGCAGCGCCTCTCACCGCGCCAAGTAAGTTTGCCGTACTATACACGTATTCACGTCAATATGATAAGTCATATTGTATACAGAGTAATTTTTTTGTGCGTTATTTTTAATCTATATATAGATCACAAAGCGCAGCCATTTCTCACACCGTAGAGTTTTTTGAGTTCAGGCATGATGACGTTTTTAACGAAGCTCGACTGACGGCCGGCGATAGCGTCTCGCTTAGGATTCTTGGCATAATGCTTAATGCCTGGCTTGTGGATGAGGAAAGCGTTGTTCAGTATCATGAAGTCGTAATCCTTTACGCAGAGGATATAACCCTGGAAAAGACATATAAATTATTAATATGTTACCTTTAAGAAAAACGTCGCATATACCTTTAGCTGCGATGATAGCTAACACTTTTATGTTACATGACAGAATAAAAAAAAGTTCACCCGTATAAAATGTTATAGGTAACATAATGAAAGTTGTACGATTATTATAGGATACAAACGTAATAGCGGTTCATGGTTAGCGAGCGAATTTCTCAAAATGAACCTACTATTGTTTAAGGAAAGCGCGGGCACTTGTGTGCGCCGCATCCTTTTACGTCCCGCCGACACTTAATTGTGCTTGCAGCAGTTCGGGCCGCCATAAAGTTTGAATGGCACTATACTTAACGGCGTTCCCACAATAAAGCTCTGCGTTTGTGCGTGTCTGTGTAAATTTGCAGCGTTGCAAATTCAATTCACAGCACGTGCTCATGAATTTAAGAGTATAGGAATTAAACACGACTGGTAACGGTTAAATCCAACAGCAAAATCTGCATATTCGAGGCATTTGAACGCATTCACTGAGGTTTGTTCACGTCGAGTTGTATGTTTCATTGCCTTTCTAATTTATGGATCTTAAGGACGAATTATATCTACAAATACCCGCCTCAGAACTGATTAGTATTTGTAAGAGAACCTACAAATATTATGTCAACGATAAAGTTATTATAAGTAATCTCTGGTCAATATTTTCTAAATGTATTCAATTCCTTATATTGACAGTGCATTGAAAAAGCTAATCATGAAAAAATGACTTAGTAAAGCTTGATAAAATACGTTATCAAGCACACTGTGTTAACGCAGACTGTTGGCAAACATTAACAAATTAAACATTGTATTAAAGTTGAGTCTTTACCTGAGTCATTTTGTCTTTCTTTCCCTCCCAGCTGAGCCGCTCGTCGTAGTAGGGATCCTGGTGAGTGCCGATGAAGATCGGCTCCCAATGGACGTATTTGCCGCGTCTCTTGCCAACGTGGAAGACGTCCATTTCTGAAAAATCAGGACACGCTTTTAATATTAATTTTATATCTTTTACTATCCAAACCTGACATTAGATGTAATACCAAACTATTAATGACAATAGTCTGAATCTAAATTATCAAAATAAGATTAACTTTTTTTCTGACCTGTGACCCTATCAATGTTTTTTTATCTATTCAGTGGTTACGCATGGGTACTAAATTTTTTTTTAATTATATAGGCGACATATTAAAAAAAAAATTAAATAGAAACAAAAGCTACAATGGATTAGCTCGCATTCTAACGATAACGAAGCGAAGGCGTGATCTAATTAGCATAGGAAGTCAAGACTGCACTCGAGTTTGCGGAGACTTGGCGAATTGGCGTAAAATTTTACGCCGAACGTGAGTCGAGCAGCGGGGTAGGTCATTGAACCATAATACGCAATTAGAATGCCCCATACGACGGCCACGGTTCGCTCCAGCTAGCATAAATAGCTCACGACGATACACGAGATTAATTACTGCTTCAGACTTATTGCTAGGTATTAACAATGATGGACAACGGTGCTGTAAAATAACTCTACGTATGTTAAAGCGAATGGAGTTACATGACGTATTACCGTCGTTTGTAACTAGAATTACATGACTATTTATTTGGCATGACTTGGCCAAAGATTGGCAAACGTTGGCAAATTTTGGCAAACACAAAGATATGTAAAAAGATTTTATAACTTTTTAATTTCAAAGTTGATGTTTTTCTCAATCAGATTTGCTTTTAAATACTAAAACATAAAGTAATAAAAGTATTAATAAAAAAATTAAAGAAATTATATATCGCAATTTCTTATCTTAAATTGGGCATTAAAATCTTTATGTTGTATATATAAATGTGAATTGTGCAGGAAAGCTATAAAACCATTCGCATCATGCAATTAAAATGTTTGTGTAACATAATAACATACAAAGTAAGCAAGTAAATGTAACAATCGAATACGTTAATTTTGAAACTTTATACGATAATTGACATAATTTCTTAGTAATTATAATAACATTTATAAAATTACCGAGAAATTAATTTCTTGTTGATACATTTAAAAATAATTTAAAATTTCAAAATCGTATAATACTTTAAAGATTTTCAGTTTTAGATTCAAAACCTAGTATATCATTCCGAGATAATAAGACCTTACATCTAGACCTTACTCTGAAAACTAGACATTATATGAAATACTTAATTTAATTTAATTTTTATCGTAAGCATAAGTCAAAGTTTTAATACCGTGGCTACAACGCAAGGTGCGGATTTCCGACAAATTAAGACTATTGACCAATCTATACTAATATTATAAAGGAGAAGAGTTAGTTTGTTTAAACGCGCTAATATCAGGAACTACTTTCTAACTAAATTTCTTTTATTTTGTTAGATAGTCCATTTATAGAGGAAGGATTTAGGTTATATAACATTACGCTGCGATCTTTAGTTTTTTTTTAATTCCCCACGGACGAAATCGCGGGCGACAGCTAGTAATGAACTACTTTTACCGAAATTAATGTGGCTATGCATATTTATGGTGAAACATATAACCAATTTGACGTCCATTATATCCTTCATCAGCGTTCAAACGGTTTAAATACGTGTTTAACTAAACAGTATCTAACTATATTTTTTTGGGGTAATACAGTCTTTATTGAAGTCTAAAATAGACTAGATTGTGTAGTTAAAAAACTCTTTGAACCCTTTACAGAAAAAAGTAATTTATGCATTGATTACTATTGACATATCTTAAGTAAAACCTATCTCCGCGTTTGTATAGATTTACTATATGTATTCCGAGCTAGTCCGTGCTTTGTTAGTCATTAAGTTATGTTCCGGCTTCTCGTTAGTAAATGATGGTCATTACGTTAGGTCGACGGCCTATAGGAGCCTTGACGACTCTACCAACGAATGGCTTAATGGTCAGAACATAGGCTGATAAAGAAAACTATTTTCTAGACAATTAGAGGCAATTAGAAAACATGATCACACGTAGCATTTCGTCTTTGAATGACCTTGGTATTCAAGAAACTAGCGTTACGTTAACGTAAATATCGTTACATGACAGAGAAGACAGATATAGATAACACGAGAAAGAGTGAGACAGTTATTCGTTTGAAATAATAAAATAATACTGCTGTCCACCTATATTTTATCTCTGGGTTTAAGTGAAATTTTATTATCTTTACTTACGGCTAGTTTCGGCTGCATTCATCCACTGCTGTCCCTGTGGTATATTGTGGCAGTTCGGACACACGTATTTGTGGAAGGGGATGGCCGTTTTCTTTATCAACATCGCCTGCAGCTCCGTTTTAGTAGACGGCACCTACAAAAAATTACACAATGAAGGTATAAAGTAGATAATAATAAATTAATTAGATAATATTATAATGTATGGATGGATGGATGTATGTTAGAAGGTATCTCCAGAACGGCTGCATGTATCTCGCTGAAGTTTGGCAAAGATATAGAACATAGCCTGGAAGACTACACACAGACTACTCATTAATTTATTTTTATCGCGAACAGAGTCGCGGGCGACAGCTAGTAGCTAATTATATGTTTCAGCAATGGACACTGAAAATCTTATTTAATGCGATTATAATTATATTAGCCAGTACATAATTAAGTAATTTTTCTACGTTGAAATAATTTCTCAAATGTTCAAATAACGAGTGGGCGTCATCGTGATCAGATTTCTGCAGAGACCGAGCTCCATGTAGGTCGCAATGCCAGTTAATTAGGTTAAAATCGTTCACTGACCATTTTATCAGGTCGCAACACTCGGAATAGGAAATTGTTTAATCAATATTTCAATTACATAGCGAACATTTGTATAGTTGTGTTAACATATTTAACGCGTAACCTTTTTATTTCATTCTAAATATTACCTTTTTGACATACTTTTTCGGTTTTTTAGTTATTATAAAATCTTCTTTCTACTTTAGATGTTTCATATTACTTTTATTCATTTAAAAATTCGAAAACTATTTTTTTAGTCATACATTTGATGTACTACGATAAAAGTTAATTAAAAATAAGTTTAGACGAATTCATAACATTAAATATTCCGTTATTAGGGCATTTGGGAATATCGGGTCATTACAAAAATGAGAATTACGCGTGTGTAAGCTAATTTTTACTATTATAAGGCAAGGTCGTTTAATATTTTTTTTTAGCTTTAGGTTGTTATTACCTACATGATAAACATTATAGTATAATTATAAATATCGTTTAGGTCACCTTGTATATTACAATGTGTTGACCGGAGGAGTTAAGGTGACATTTGGAAGAATAAAAAACACTTGCTTTGGGTGCGCTATGTAGTACTTATATCAAGTATCAAGAATTTTGGGCAGACTTGCGTCCCGGAGGCCTAATTTAGTCTTCCCTTCCCACCCTTTTCTTATAAGGAAAGAATGGGAAGTGGAAGTTGACTTTCCGGATGAGAGGATGCATGGAAAGAGAAGATATTTTCATTCTGTGCATCCTCTCCGTCGATTAAAGGCAACGCATATGCAATTGTGTGTCTATGGACAACGGTAACTATGCTATTTCAGCGTTTTCAGGTGGCCGCTCGCTCGTTTGCCACCTTCATCATCACCTGCCCTTATCCCTATCGAGGGTCGGCACAGCATGTACTACTCCTCCATACATCTCTATCAGCCGTCATATCCGAGTCTACCCCCTTCTTACGCATATCCTCTTTCACACAATCATTCCATACTTTTTTTGGTCTTCCTCTACCCTTGTAGCCATCCACATTCAATCTCATTACTTTTTTGCTTATATCACCACTCGTTTGCCACCTTATGATATAAAAAAAAGTTATTTTACGGTTACGATGTTTTATCACAAATAGTAACCTTGTATTTAAACATAGCAAAAAATTGTGCAATAGTAACGTGTTGATAATAAAATTGTTTTATTTTATATTGCGTTTGTCACAGCGGATGTAAAGATAATATTAGTTACATGTGTATTAAATGAAATATAAAATAAAAGAAACTTAGTCGCTTTATAAAGGTGATCGTAATTGCGAATATTTAATAAACTGATATTTCCTTATTATAGATTTTATTCGTCTTAAAATTTTACACGCTTGTAATCGCAGTAAATTAAAAGCTACGCAATATAATGGTAGAGTGGATAAACAACTAAAGCTAATCACCGGAAGTGAATTAATTAACATCGGCCAAGTATTTGCAACAGCAATGGGGTACAGTCAGCTGCATAAATATGTATACTTTTCATACCTCACAAACGTGTATGGATCTTCCATTTTAAAAATACGTATGCAAGAATTCCTCATTGTAACCATAGTCGAAAGCATACGGAAGTACGCGTGGTATACATTTTGAAACTGTAAGCGCATTATATTTTTTAAGCTTTGTAAATGTATACATATTTATGCAGCTGATTGTACTGAAAGGCCAGGCCGATCGCCTTGCGAGGACACTGTCTTGGTTGGTCAAGATCTACTCAAAGTTTGCATCTGTGGGTAAAATATCATAATATCCTTGCATTACATACATAGCGCGATAACCTTACGAAGACAATGCTAATACCAGTATCGGTTTAGGGTTCATAAATATTTAGGTAGGAACTTAATCATTTATAAATTGGATCCAAAAGCACCAGTATTTTATGAGTTTATTGAGGATAAGTACTAGATGAACGTTATTGAATAGAATGCAGGAGATTGCTAATTTAAATAAATATTAGTATGCGTATTAAGGTCCTGAGAAACAGCTCTCTCCGTTAATTGAATAACCGCGGGTTTCCGATACTTAAATTCCTGTTTAAAACATATCTATGTTTTGTCAAAGATAATGACAGGGATGACGATATTAGAGAAATTTTGATTTTAGAAGCCTAATAAAATAAAGTATTATACTATTACTCACTTGTACTTTAGCGTCCACTTCAAAAATACTTATCGGGAAGACTCTTGGCTTTGTAGAGTTTAGAGGCTTTTCGTTTCTAGCGATCATGTTCAAAAAGCGAGGTATTAAATTCGGGCTAGGATACAGCTCTATATCCGATGGAAGTATAAAATGTGTTAAAGCAGAATCTCGAGCGACGTTCCTTGCCACGTTGACTGGGTATAGCAAGCTTTTTGACTTCATATACGTAGATGAAGCATCTACATTGTACGGTGGTTTACTTGTACAATTGAACGGAGTCAACAGGAAGGTTTCTGGATCTGGTATCTAGAAAGAAAATAAATAAAATTATTTAGGTACTTAAGAATACGATTCGACATTACAATATGTTTTTTTTCATTGGTGTCGCAGATGAAAAAAATCTTCTAGATAATTAAATATAAAAAAAGGAACCTCACAGACAGACGGACGGACAACAAAGTGATCCTATAAGGGTTCCGTTTTATTCCTTTCGAGGTACGGAATCCTAAAAATGATTAAAACTAAGATCTTTTTAACCTATCGGTGTTCTTACAAAAGCTTATAGAAAGGTTTCATGTCCTACCGATTCTTCCTGCCTAAACCTAAATCCTAAAGTTCTTAAGAAGTACTTTAGAATCTTGAAGACCTGTTATGTTTATCACTTACCTTACTAGGTATATGTTTGTTAGAGAAGAATACATGGAAAGTGACGTATTGTCTGATGAGATCGTTGTTGAGGCAATCACGGAGATATCTGATGCTGTCCACGGTGGGGGCTAAGTCAGCGCCCGGCGCGTGTATTGCCAGACTTACTGGTGCCATCCATCTGCAAGGAAAATGTAATATTAAGTTGTAACTCAATTAAATAACCTTAGTTAATTGATACAATGTTCCGGGAACAGTGTTGCGTGATCAAAGTTGTTTATGTCTCCGGCACAACTTTATAAGATACTGTTGACGATAACGTGATTCTAGCACGCATCATTATATTAATGATTATTTTGTTGTTACTCAGATTTCTTTATTTATTGCTCGAATGAGTAATATTCTTTGCAAATTGTTATTATAAAAAATAAGCTAAGTGACAGTTTTTTGTGTTTAAATAAATATTCTAAGGAGTTTTAGACATTACTAGCTGTCGCCCGCGACTCCGTCCGCGCGGTATTAAAAATAGACGTTGGCCGATTCTCAGACCTACTTCATATGCTCACAAAATTTCATGAGAATCGGTCAAGCCGTTTCGGAGGAGTATGGGTACGAAAATTGTGACACGAGAATTTTATATATAAACTTAGCTAGAATCCTTTGGCGCGAATTGCGCGCTTTCGTTACAAAGTCAAGTGTCAGAATTATTAGTGAGGGGTCATAAACGTCGATATATGAGTAAGGCTAGTGTTATGCCAGTACACCGGCACAGTGTCGGTTTTTTCCTAACAGGAGCAATTTTATTCTTACTAATATGTATTATAAATGCGAATGTTTCGATGGATGGATGGTCGCGGGCGACAGTTAGTAGGAGTTTATTCTTGACATAAGATCTCCCTCTATTTGCATGTATGTGAAGTATATGCGTAAATTAATCAGCGTATGTTCATAAAGGGATGCTTTATTCCCTTGGAATAAAGGAAGGGATGATTGTTAAAACTCTTTGCCTACAGCAGGAAATGTAATCCGTACCCTTCCTTAAAGTTTTATCTTTAATATAACTTACGTAGTTTATGTTTTACCGTGACTTTGTACTGTCGATAACGTGTTCAAAAATACAGTACCATCACTTTCATATTCTTTATAAAAGTAGAGATAGCATACATTTTGTACAGGATGTTTCAACAGTAGAAACCCATAACGATGGGGGCATTAGGCTGTACAAAATAAAAACTTAAAGTTCAAATCACATTTCCCTCCTTTGTACGTTTTAATTCTAATACAGATTATACTTTACACAACTTCCTTGTTAATAATGCTGTTTGGGGGTCGACAAACAATGAAAGCGACACCTTACATTGCCCTTGTTTAGATCAGTGATTCTCAAAGTACGGGGTACAGGTCCAAAGAGACCCTTAGTGGTTCATTAAGAACCTGCCACTGATGTACGAGGAGAGATATTAAATTGATGAATCACATATTAAATAACAAATGCAGGAGCATGTGGTATAAAAGTGAAATTTCGAAAGAGCGCTACTAAAGAAATGTTTGGGAATCTCTGGTTTAGTGTAGACAAGTGTTTGTTTTATAAAAATGGGTCCCTAGCAACTGGCTGGTTAACAAAGGAGGTATAGGTGCGCGTATGTTTTGGGGTCATGAATTTCACAGTTCACTTTACGTTTCTGTTAGCGATGCTCTTCACGCTCCACTTTATGTTTCGGCGCCCGACGTCTGTTTAAAAGAGGCCAGAAACGTTCCGATCGACTAGCGGTACCTTTTACAATTTTATTGCAAACGAAATAATTGCATTATAATTTTTTTTTGTACGGTCGAATTTGCTTTTTACACAGTAGCATATTATGACGAAATTGCTTTTGTAGTAATCATGTTTTTATGAAGTTGAAATGTATGCTTATTTCGCATAATAATTGCAAATCTTTAAGTCTGAATAAGCATAATAAAATTAAGCGTATCAAAAAAATATACATTAGCATATTATTTTATGTCGTATATATTTAAAAGTCTGAGCTTTTGTCGGTATTTTGTTTAAATTGTGATTTTTTGGAAATTATATTTAAGTACGAATTACTAATAAAATGATGAAATATGAATAATTTTCGATCTTACCGATAGAAAAAGTTAGGTTTATGTTAAGTTGATTATCGATAAAACACGAATAAAATGACATTTTCTAAAAATGATTCCTAGCTAGATCGATTTATCGCCCCCGAAACACCCTATATATACTAAATTTTATGAAAATCGTTGCCAGCTCTTCAAGGCATAGGCCTTGAAGAGCTGCTTCTTCTCTTCTTTCGAATTTATATTCGAAAAAAGAAATGAATAAATAGTATCCTATGTCCGTCTCCGGGCTCTAAGCTACCTCCTCACCAATTTTCAGCCATATCGGTAAAGCAGCTCTTGAGTGTAACTAACACGACTTTCTATTATATTATATATAGATTTGGTAGCGTTCAGTGTAAGTATTCAATTGTTTGCAGACACTCACGTCGAGCCGGTTTGGAGGGTGTCGGAGTTAGATCAATATTCCACACCTCTGTGAGCCTCACTCTATCGCCGCACCCTCACTATGCTTTCCTCATTGTTACTATGCAATTGTTTTGTTGCTATGTGAATATTAACTGATGTTAACGAGCACTCAACGCAAACACAGAACAGAATTAAATAGCAATGCATTCAGACATCTGCAGATAAGATATAAAAAAAAGGAAAAGATTAAGGCGTTCTATTTGTCTTCCACATATACGTTGCAAATTAAGGCTCATTTAAGTATTTTAGTAATTCTTTGTAAAAAAAAATGTTTTTTAATAAAAAAAAATTACAAATATCAAAAAAATTAAATACAAAAATGTGAGACATTCCGATTACGTAAAACCTCGACCAATTAAATGGCTTGCACTTGACCGTTTTTACTTTTAATTGCTAGTTAAAACAAAAGTCGCATAACGTAAAGTTATGAGAGGTCAATCAGAGCAGGTTCACACGGGCGTCGGTCGTCGGGCGTGCGTTGCTCGCGTGGTGCCGTGAGATCGATTGTAAAGTCAACACAAGGCTAGACGTGTTTGTAAAGGGTCGAGCCCTCGGCGAGCTTAGTGCTCTAGTGACGTCCCCGTAGGAATCGATTGATCGATGTTTAGTCATATTGCACTGACATGAAGAAATGATTAAATTTGAAAGCTTGTGTGTATTCAATGCATTACTAATTGCTTATTGTGTCCATCTAATTGTCTGAATTAAAAGCTTTATTTTTATGTATAGTTTTGTTCGTATATCTTAGTACGCATATTAAAAAAATTATTTAAATTTTTTTGTAACCAAAAAGTGTAATACAGATACACATACAAACTTTTTCAGTTCTCATTTGTTTATTCAATATTAAATACTGTAGTTGGTGGCGAGTACAACACTACTTGCACAATTTTACATTGCTTTGTGCAGGTGCAAACATTCCAACTGCATATTATGTTGTACTTAAGTAATTAGAGAGTGTAATTTGTTATACCAACATATATATTTTTATATTTTAACATAATACGTAGGTATATATCCACTTAGATTCATTTTTTTTCGCTATCAGATTACCTAATTACGCAATTTTAAGATGGGATTTTGTCAAACTCACTTTTTTGGTAAAACAAATGTTAAAAGGTTTTTTTACATTATTAATTTACATGCAATAGATATTTCTTTCGATTTAAATAAAACTGAATGAGTGAATTGTTTCATTCGTGGGCGAGTCAAGAATGTACATTTACTATCCCGCCGACAGCCAACATTGTTTCCTGTTCCATAAAAAAATACGAAACGCCTGTTGCATTTCGAGTGTTTTTATTCTGCGTATTGTTAGTTCCACGGACGTTTACATTACAAAAACAAACTTGTAAGACGCGTTAACATACGATAGCTGTCAGTTCTCATCATAATGTAGATATTATTGTTAGATTTTTTTTTTAAGAGAAGGGGACAAACGAGCTGCAGGAACACCGAAGTGATCAACGACACCCATGGACATCTGCAACACCAGAGGAACTGCAGATGCGTTGCCGGCCTTTAAGGAAATGGTATGCTCGCTTCTTGAAGATCCCTAAGTCGTATTGGTTTGGAAATACCGCCGAGGACAGACCGTTCCACAACGCGAATGTGCAAGGCAAGAAATTGCGCGTTGTGGAACGCCAGCCATCCAGATGGTGTGGATGGAACCTGACGTTCTGTCGTGTCGTCCTATTACGGAACTCGGCGGCAGGAATCGAAGAAGATTAAAATATATTAATCCTTACATCTTCTATACGTTTCAATATTAATAGATATTTTGTTGAATATTTGTTAGAATGTTCTGTGGACGCAAAAGAAAGTTTGTGCCCAAATAAGACTTGTAAAACATCGTGATGCAACCTGCACATATCTGAGGAGAAATTCAAACATTGTGTGAAGTCAACCAACCCGCACTTGGCCAGCATGGTTGACTATGGCCTAATCACCCTTAACTTTGAGTGGGCTCCGAGCCCCTCGGTGGGGACGTATAGTGATCTGGTGATGACATGATGATAGTTTAAACAATGACATAATTTATACTAAAATCACCTTTATTTTATTTCAATAAGTTGCCGAAAATATTCTAATCTTTGTTGAGTGTTTGTCATTTAATTTTTGGAGGAGTTATCAAGGTTGCTTGCCAACTTAAGATGTAAAGTTGGTTTAAAACTCTGTTTCTCAATTATAAATTAAGTGTCATTTGACGTAGACATAAGAATGTACTCTAGAAGAAAAAAACAGGACAGGAACATGTAGTTTAATAACATAGTAAACATTTAAGGTTCGCAAATGAGTCACGCTTGCTATGACAAACACTACACACACGAGCAGTTACGTGGGAATTCACAATTAAAAGAACATTTTTCAAATTAAAATTTACTTTCTTGTTGCGTTAAACGTTAATTATAGAAAAGCCAGTATCTTGTTTTATCATTATACTAGCGGTCGCCCGCGACTCCGTCCGCAAAAAGTCCATAATTAGTAGCTTCAGTGTTCTTCCAGACTATGTTCTTTTTGTATGCCAAATTTCATCGTAGACCGTTCAGCCGTTCTGGAGATACTTTCAAACAAACATCTATTCATCCATCTAAACATTCGCATTTATAATATTAGTAAGATAAGATTTAA